AACTGTGTTGATTGTAAAGAAGGCCTTACGTAGCAAACAATGCTGCAAATTATGCATGAATATGTCGCATTCTTTGCCCACCACTACCTTTCAGGAAGAAGTTGGCCTGCATTCAGTCAATTATTATCCCAAATGAAATGTCATAAAGCGGACATAAATATCGAATGCATTGTGTCGGCAGATGTAAGTGTGAAAATCTTGGGACATGGGTAGAGGCGGTTGATATTGGTGGTCATGTAATCTAGACAGGTTGAATTATCAGTGCTTGAAAGCATGTTTAACTACTTCCTTCATGTAAACTTGACCATTTGCATCCAACACTCAGTTATATTGTAAGAGTCATAATTCACAAGTCTGGATTTTGTCCAAATTTAAGGAGTGAAGCATTGCTTTTGTTCTCACTGTTTTCTAACATTCTCCTTCCTCTCCCCCCTCTCCCCTCCTCCCCTGCCCCGAGCGGGGTCGTACTGTACCAGTACCAGCAGCACCAGTGCCATTGACCCAATTTCGTACACCTGAAATATGCGGAAGTGCCAAATAAGACCTTTAAACAGCCATTATTACCTTCGCCAGTAACTTAAATGTCCATGTCATAATTACTTAACCAAGCTCACTACCTTAGTAAATTGGATTCGAGAAAATGACAAATAGAGTCACACCAATCAGCTTACAATTTCACCAATGAATTGGGCGTACCTGTTCGCCGGAGTGCCTGGCGTAGATGACAAGGTTGTAATCACCTTTCTTTGGTAGTCGAAAGCGGAAAACCACGCATGATTCCTCAGGAGCGATTTCATGCATGCCAAATCGTGTCTTACTTGAACCCTGAAATGAAACGCTTATTCTCGAGGTCACTTAGTGAGAAGCATAGATTACGCAAATGCATTGAGCTGAGAAAGATGTGGAAAATGGGTCGCAAAAATTCAAATAATTTCAGTGATAGCAATTGCTATTCCGAGTTCTAGTCAAAAATGTCCTTATTAAAGTCATATGACTGGTTAATTCCACCACAAGGAATCTACTTTTCTACCAACCTACGATTATTTTATTCTTTGGGCATTGTTTAATCAACTAAGGATGTTTGCGTAACCGTGAAATCCACCTAAAACTTAATAATGAAATGATTGTCACAAAAAATTGACTTCAATGCCAAATTAGGCAAGTGGGGATTCCATTACAAAAAACTCCAATGGTGCATCGAAACGTTTGACAGTCAAAACAGTATGCAGATTAAACATTGCTATACGCTCTTGATTGTTTTACATTCTGCACCACGATTGTTAAAAGTGGCTTGATCATGGTTCCTTCGAGCCCGCTCAAATGTCTCCCTTTTGGACGCCGAACACAACAATCGCGTGAATTCAGAAAGGATTGCGACAACACTGATTATTCTTGGGGTTTGCGTCAATTTGCGCTACATGAAGTTTTCATTGGCACTACAAAAGCTTGTTCCCTCTGGTGCAACACAAAACCTCACATGCCGAAAATGTATTGCTACGTTGTTCAAAAAATTAATGTAAAATAACGCACAAATATTAATGCACCTAGGCGTCGTGGGCCTTCATTAACCTCAACTTCTACAACATCATCAAAAGCACTTACGCTATAGACACTAATTTTCTAGGAATACAACCTAAATCGCCTGAAAACATTTGGCGAAGAGCGAAAAACAGCTTTTCTAGTATAACCGTCACAAAAGAAAACCGTAACTGAAGGAAGTAGGCTCCACTTGCAAATAAGAATGAAAATGCTGATAGTTATCGAGGCAAAGTCCGTAGATGGTATGAAATTCTCCTCGCCAAACGCATAAAACTCATCTACAGTCAGTTCTGAAAGAGCGAATCAAGTTCTGCCCGAGAAGCGCTATTGTTTTAGCTTTATGCTAAGGTGATACCCGAACATTGGCAAGATCGTTCTGTACTAAGACAATCCGCTTGCTGTTTAGGTAACATTATTTTTCGGTCAAGAGCCATTCTGTGTGCTAATTTACCACTTTATCTTGGTTAGGTAAGTTGGTCTCAATTCTTTCCGAACACATACATTCTGCCTCAGTGCTACGCATTCTTAAGCCTTCAGGGAAGTTGAGACCCTGTAGCAATAATTTACCCAACATCATGTCTTGAAACTCTAATCATAAGAATGTGTTTATTGGCAAATTGTGCAAGGTTTCCAGGCGCATCATACTCGACACCTTTAAATAAGCAAAATCGCTGGCTTTTAGAAGGAGCCCGAATGTCGGAATCAGCTCCGTTTGCCCCCAGTGTGATTTGTAAGCTGATTCTAGGCATATTTAATGCCCATACAATTGAGATTGTGGTGCATGAAAACTTTGCTGTAAGATTGCAAAGTGAGTAAGCCAAAAAGATCACGCTTATTCATCCTTGGCTTTGATTATGGTAGTGCTGACATGGAAAATAGACAACTATGCTGCGATTACCTTTTGAACCACTTTGCTCACCCCACATAGGCCTTCAGTTGTTCCATTTTCGAAAATACAATTTGAACTAGGTGACTCCATATGAAGTGTGCTAGTGGCTGTGATACTGATTGACGCATAGTTTATTTCCCCAATTCCGATTACTGAACTTTGCCACATACCACATCAATATTCCCGAAACCTTCGAGGTTGAGCTGATAGGTAAAGAGAAGCCTTCCGACATTCTCAGGGAGAATTTTCAATTTCAAAACAAGTTGGTTTTCGACAGCAACAACACCTTCTTGATGGGAGAACAACTGAAGTCCATATTGAAAGAAAGCGGGTTTCAGCAGTGGCCATGTGGCGAAACTCTAAACAGACAAATAGAAATACTAGAGTTGGGTTTAAGCGTTTGAATGTAAATAAAAGCAGGCCTTGGATCTGTACTCGAAAAAATTAACACCGCTTTGCTGCATCGAGATGGTGAGGTTTCTCAAAATATTATCTAAAATATCAACATGTTCACGAGCATATGTGTAGTTTGGAGTCGCAGTACCAAAACCTATGCGGAACAGTGCCCCAGAAAATGTTTTATAAAATTTAAAATCCGTATACAATTTCAAAGCGTCAAATGTTGTCAACGTCGGCTCGTCTTAACTTGTTAAATATGGTATGATATGAATTTTTTGTCAGCAATCAAAAAAACAGTTATTTAATCTGGCAGTCATCCGATGTGTGGACACGTATCTACCCACAAGTCTCCCTTTTTGGGAAACGAAACTCATCACTTGATATAATTTCAAGATAAATACACGACATAACGACAGAGTATGGCCATCACATTGTCAACATACATAGAAC